GAGATGCCTGACTCAGACTAGGCCAAAGGAATTCTTTCTCTCTCAACATTCTGCTCATCACTTTTCTCCTACCCTACTGTTTGAGACAGGGGAAGATGGTTAGCAAAGGGTGAAGGATGAAGTAGATGTGAGAGTAAAGCAGAGATGATCCCCCTGCGACATCATGCTGAATTCTTCCTTTTGACTACTGGAATTCTGACAAACCCCCTACTGCCTTGTTAGGAGCATTAGACATGCAGCTGTCTGTAAAAAGCTAGAATGATGAGTGCTCAGTAAATAGCATTTGTGAATTTTATTCCCTTACTTCACATCTGGGGTAGATGTCTCTTCAGGCATGGGTCTTGTTGAGCTTCTCAGTTTAAACAAGGGAAAGCAAGTTTCTTGATGCATTATGGACCAGCAACATTTAAATGTCTATTTAAATTGTCAACACAAGGTGCACCACAAGTTAAAACCATAAGGATAATTATGTACCAACGCCTGGGAAAACCTCTGAGGGTTGTTGATTCTTTCTTGGGCAGGTGGAAAGCCCAGTAATTTGTGTTACACTTGGCAGTCCTGGGGGAACAAGATGACACTTGGTTTCCACTTGAATCTTCTGTGTATGAACAAAACATTGTCTTTAGCTCTTGTACCAACACAGTTTCTGGGGAATACTTATTTGTTTACTTCATCTCCTTCCTCTAAAGTAGAAGCTCCTTAAGCGAAAGTAACACCTGACTTGTTCTCACCACACTTCCAGTGTTTAGAACAGGTTATGGGACACCATGGGACATCAATGAGAATTTTTCAAAAAATGAATGCATTCATAACATGTTATGGAATGAATCCATAACATTCCTATGGTGGGATTCAAGTGGAAGTTTACTCAGCTCCAACGCTGCACCCTTCCAGCCGTTTGAGTCTATTTGGACCTCCCATTCTGCCAACTTAACATGTTCCTGCTGGCTTGAAGCACCATCAGGCAGCACGGCACAATCAAGCATGTACAGCCCCATTCTGAACATGTTAAAGACCCCCAGTATGCATCCTATGCAGTCCCATCTTCAACCTTGTTCTCCAAAAATCCCTCTAACTCTCCTATCCTCTCTGCTGCTGCCATTTAGTCAAAACCCCCACTTATATCTCTTATGTATTACATAATAACTACTGAAGATAATAAATAACCATCCCTGAGCACCAAACACAAAAGATAAATACAACCTCATCTGAAGCATCAAAATACTCAAGTAATTCACAGGAGAAAAATGTCAAGTACTACTACTACTAATTAAGAATAATATGATTAGGGGTAAAGAAAGGAAAGAATATGAGAAAAGGGAAAAATAGAAACTAAGTCTTTATAAATAGGGAGGGGTGGAGGGGTTGAAAGGAAGGCAGGGAATTGGGGAAAAAATAAGAACCAAGATATATCACGTAAAGGTACAAATTCCCAATGATGAATGTCGTCATATTGTGTAGGGAACAGGGAAAGGGGACGTTACTAGAACCTCTGCAGTAAGTCCTAGTCTCCTGCGACCCATGGCAGCACAAGGCAAATTAATTTATTATACAGGAAAGGTAGAAAAATGAGACTTTGAGAAGAAGCTGAGTTTTGGGCCTGATCAGTGCTGCTCTGGGTGGCAAAAACGAAAGCCCCCAGCTTACCCCACCTTTTATCCAGTACATCGGGAGAAACAGATGTAACAAATGACCTGCAGAGAGTTCAGTACATCCGTGTAAACAAGATATAACAATCCAGGAGCAATGAGGAACTGAGTAGATATTTGTTCCTCCCAGGATATCTTCAACTGGTGTAATCTTGTCCTGGAGCATCACAGCATCACCAGATCATTGAGGTCTCAGTTGTGACCGGGGGCCAGAATGGAATTATGTCTCAAGATGCCATAGCTGGCCTGTAGGCAGGAGAACTAGGCCTAATCAAATGATTTTTCCCTAAAATTATGTAGCATTGCTCCCAACAATATTGTATACCTAAAATGTACCAATAAATTTAATGAATAAAAAAAAGAATATAGTGTGATAAAAACTATGACAAGATGAGTACTAAAAGAAAGTTACTCCCTCAAGGGTTGAAGTTGAGGAAAGTTTCAGAGCTGTGTCAGTCACCTTTTCATTGAAGTGACAAAATACCTGCTCAGACTGCAGTCAGCTATCTGCATTGTTTTAGGCCTGTGGCCATGGAGAAACATCATAGCAGAAGGGTGTGGTAAAGGAAAGCTGCTTACCTCTTGGTAGCCAGGAAAAAGAGAGAGAGAGGGAGACAGAGAAAGAGTGACACAGAGAGATAACAAGATATACCCTCCAAAGTCATGGCCCCAGTAACCCACTTCCTCTAACTGGATTCTACCTCCTAATAGCTCATTCAGCTATGAACTCATTACCAATGGATTAATCCACTGATAAGGTTAGTGTCCTCATGACCAAATAACCTCTTGGGCCCCACCTCTGAACATGGCTGCACTGGAGATCAAGCATTCCATATGTAAGTCTTTGGAGGACATGGCATATTTGAAACATAACAAAGGTGGCATTTAGGCTGAGCCTTGATAGATAGGAAAAGTTTAGACAAACAGAGAGGGGAAGGTAAAAGGAGTTCCAAGTTCAAGGAACAGCCTGCACTGGGTGAGTAAAACATGATACACTAGCCTAGATGCAGCAACCAGAACAGCCCAGAGTGCCTGGGTGGTGGGCAACAAGAGAGGAGGCAGGGAAGTAGGCTTGGACCCACTGCCAAGGCTCTGAAGGCCCCACTCTACTCTGACCTACAGGGTCAAATGAGGACATGCTTAGGGAATGCAAAATAAAATCCATATGAGGACATCTAAAAAGAAGTGAGTTAAATTTTGACATATCTTTGACTTTTGTCCAATTTCCAAAAAAATCTTTATTTCGGGCTGTAGAATTTTTTAAATTTGGAATCACAGATCAAGAATATCACTAACATTTTTGATGGTTAGGGTCTCTAAAGGTTTTTATCAGGCTGTAGCACTGTTGCCGAAGTTAGATACCAGGCAATCTGGGCTAGGCAGAACTGAGTTAAAGCACTTTTTAAATCTGCTTTATGCATAACTGTACCCTTAACCCCCTTAGGAATCTTAGCAATTTATAAGGTCAGTTGTTTGCCCAAAAGACCACTAATGGTGGCATTTCAGGATCTGTAACAAATAAAACAAAATAGGGAGGATCTCTTCATGCAGCCCCAGAATTAGGAACTAGGCCCCCTTAAAAAGTGCTCTACAGGGCCAGGGATTTCGCTCAGTGGTTTCCACACCTGCTGCACAAGCACAAGGACCTGAGTTCAATCCCCAGTACCAAAAAAAATCAAAAACAAAAACAAAAAAGTGCTCTACTTTCTAAAATGAGAGGTGATACTCTTAAGTGAAATAAATAGGACACACGTGTAAATACCAAATCGTTTCTCTAGTGTGAGAAACTGAAAGTTTAAATAAGGACTAAAAGGTATAATGGATCATGTGAAATAGGAAGAAAAGGGACAAAGGGAAAGGGGAAGTGGGAGGAGTAGGGGAAAGGAAAGAAGGGAATGGAATTAATATGAGAAAATGGAAAATTGGAAACAAAGTCTTTGTAAATAGGGAGGGGTAGAGGGGCTGAAGGGAGGGCAGGGCAATGGGGAAAAAATAAGAACCAAGAGAGATTATGTAAAGGTCCAAATTTCCAATGATGAATGTCATATTGTATACCTAAAATGTACCAATAAAATTAATTTTAAAAAATAAAAAATAAAATGAAGTCAGCCATCTCCCCAGGGGCTTGTAAAGAAGCTGCAGACTGGTCCTGCTACCATTAACCAGCTCAGGCATCCTCCTTAACTAATGTGAAGTATCCTTTGGAACACAATGTTCATGGCCAAAAGTTATACATCTCTCCCCTGCTATCCACGCCACTGGGGAAGAAAGAGGGCATGTCCTCTACCCTCAGACCAACAGGGAGAGTGTGTTTTAGGAAATCATTCTTCTAGCCGGGGATTTAGCTCAGTGGTTCTGGTGCCTGCCACGCAAGTGCATGGTCCCGAGTTCAATCCCCAGTACCAAAAAAAAAAAAATCATTCTTCTAGATTAGAAGTGCCTACAAAAAGGAGGAAATGGGCCATAGATTTAGCTCAGTGCTTCCGCAGCCTGCCCTGCAAGCACAAGGACCTGAGTTAGATCCCCGGTACCCAAAAAAAAGGAGGATATGAAATCTTACTGCTAGCTGCCTGGTTCCTACAGCCCCACCCATAGGTCCACCCCAGTGCTCCAGAATGAGAGACATCCTACAAGAGTTTAACTTCGATGTCAGGCGTTTAGGTTCACAGAAATAAAGTTGGGAAAAGTGAAATGAAAGAAAATACATATATCATGCAGGCAAAGATAACCACACCTATGGCAGTGCCCAGCAGCAGAGAAACAGACTACACCAGAGGGGGACTGAGGAGGACTACTGCGTCAACAGCAGATTGTGGGGGAACACCCTGCTAGCTCTCCCAACTGCCTCTCTGTGCCCTCAATTAGATGTGAGAGTCCCAGAGCAGGGAGGGTAAAGTGAAAGAGCAGGCTGCACCCTTGGCTACCTAGCACCCAGCTCCCAGATAGGAGTTTCTCTGATAGTATATCCTTCATGCCTAGAACATATTCTTCATGCCTAGCACATGCCTGGCCCACAGCAAGCAATATAATACTTGTGTTGAAAATGAATGAGTGGATGCAAACGCATGTAAGTGCTTATCTCCCACCCCACCCCAGATTTTCTGATTTAGAAGTCTTACTTCTCAGTCAGAGGAGGGTGTTCCCTTGGCACAGAGCTCTGCTTAAGTAACATGGAATTACCTAGGGCAGACGTGGTGTGGATTTCCAGCAATGTCAGTTTCTGGGCAGGGCTTGGGCTTCCACAGACTGTAGACCTGCCTCTGGCCCTGCATTCCAGCTCAGTGGGTGAAAGGTATAAACTTCAGGCCTCTCAACCATGCTGCATGGTTACCAAAGACTTCCAACAGCAGCATGAAGTTGGGAAGTCTACTTCTTCTCATGATCCTCATCACCCTCAGCCTAGGGGTGCAGGAGCTACAGGCTGCAGTGAGACCACTGCAACTGTTGGGTGAGTCTAGTTCCAATCTTCTCTGAATGAGAGAAGCAGAAAATAGGACATCAGGAACCAGTGTGTACAGGAGAAGGCAGGGAAGAAGGGAGAAAAGGAAAGAATTTTTCCTTCAGGCTCTCCTTGATGGGCACCACTCTACTCCTCGGAACAGAATCTCTCTTCTGCTTCTACTTTCTCCCTGCCTTTCCCTGGGTCACCTCTCTATCTGAACTCTCCACTCCTCTTCTGCCCTCTCATCAGCTGTTCTCCATACCCGGTATCTCCCTATCTACCAACTTCTTCCTTGGATCGCCTAGAGAAAATATTTTCTTAGTCATGTTAAACATGAATCATCTCAATCTCTTCTCCTTTTACCACTTTTTTCTCAAAGGATTATTCTTAATTCTCTGCCCTTACTTCCCCTTAACTCATTCCTTAATCCCTTGAAGATTGGCCACAGCCTCAATTTCTGCCCCATTAGTCACCTGAAGCATCTCTCCCAGGCTCTGTGGACTAATGTCCTGATGCTCCTCAATTGCAAAGTCTTTAACCTCTGCAGCATTTGATGCTATTTGCCACTCCCTCAATTCACAAACTTTTTTTCCTTGCCTAGATTATCTTTCATGGCATGTTATTATTTTCCCTAAATATTGTTGGATCTAAAAATGTTTCTTGCATATGTTCCATTCCACCTCCCACTGTTTCCACCCCTGATTACCCATGCTTGGACCATGGCAATAGCTTCCGAACAGCTATCCTTGCCGCGCTGTGTATTCTGCAGTTTTCGTGCTTATTAAATCCCATTCCATTTTATGTTCTCACACCGGAATCACATCCTTCTCTTGGCCTTTTAGCTAAAATCCCAAATTCACAGGTCCTGAAGACCTGCCAGCTCTCAGGAGCTTTGTCCCTTGCATACTTTTTCTGTTTAACTTTCAGGTGCTCCATAATATTTTCCCATCCCTCCTTTTGCCTTTCCTCCTGGAGTCCTCTTATTTCAGAGTGAGGAGTGAGGCGGATGAGGGCTCTAGAGTGCAAGACTTAAGGAGGCGTTCCATCTCAGGGTTGTACAAGTATCTCCTTAAATCCTGTGCCCTTGGCACCTCGCTGGCCTTCCCTAATCCCAGGCCTGTTGCATTTTCTCCTTGTGAATTTTTGCTAGTAATTCTTTTCTTTTCTCCCAACACTCCACTTGCCCATCCCTCCCCCAATTCTGAATTTAAAGTTCTGTACTTCAAGATTCATCTTTTCTGATTAACCTAATCAAAAGTACTATCTCTTCTGAGCTCCTTGAGTTCTCCGATTCACCTTCCCTTTGCTACTTTATAAGTCTTATCTCCATTGTTAGACTTTAAACTGCATGTTTTACATCTTTGTAATTCCTGAATAACTTCCTCTATGCTTTGTATATAGTAACAAATCAATGGGGAAATACTTAATAAGTGAGGAAAGGGCTGTGAGTGGGAATAAGAGGTCTTCAACCTTCTCATCACAAATCAACAACAGCTACCAGAAACATGATGGACTCACACTGGTTTTCTCTGAGGTCTGTAAAGTACATTGTAGACATTCCACTAGTCCCTTTCTTACACCTCTGAGACACTGCTAATCACCCATGACACTTCTTGTCTCTAAGCCTGGGCGAGGCATCCAAGCCTGCTCAATATAGCATGAGATGGCCCCCTTTATGGATTAGAGTTGACACTGGAGAATGATCCTCATTTCTTCTGCTGCATCCAAGGCCCCATTTTACAGATAAGAAAATAAAGGCCCAGAGAAGTTCAGAGATAGAATCAGGTAGAGAAATTCCTAATAATAGCTGAGTAGCCAACTAAGCACAACATACGTTCATCCAGAGGACTGCATAGTATTTTGCTAGAAGCCCCATTAAGGTCTTTTTAGACCTACTTCATTGGTCCTCAAGATCAATATTGAGCCTCTGGGAACTTGAGGAGCCTTCACTCACCTCAAAAATGATTCCTTGGAATCTGGAGGTGCACTCTTCATGTGGACAGCTTCACCACGTGGGAGAGCAGCAGCACAAGCCTAGGGATCGAGCAGGTCTAGGATGTATCCCACTTCTGTACCTACTAGCAGGCCAGTCACATCTGTGAGCCCCAGCTCCAAAACCTATAAAATGGTACTAATTAAGACTCACCACATACTACTCACTACTCACTGCAACACACCCTTGATGGCGTTCAGTATATGCAAGTCTCCTTTTCTCTGTTCCATTTCCTGCAGTGTGAGGAAGTGAAGACATTTAGAGGGGCTTCTTTGCACTTCCCTTCTACAAACACAAGCACTCTATCCCCATGTCTAAAGTAGGTTTAAGTTCATTGACATTACGTGAATATACCCTTTCTAATGGAAATATACAAGATGTTAATGACTGTCATTCTGAGAGTAGTCATTTGGGAATTACATTATGTGCTGAACTAGGAGAAAAAAGTGGAATTTACTCCTAAATCAAAGGCTGTCATCCTCAACTCTTGAAACTTAAGCACAGATGTTTTCAGCTGCTCTGTTCTCACTTAGGCACCTGCGCTGAGCTCTGCAAAGGTGACTGGGACTGTGGGCCAGGGGAGCAGTGTGTCAGCAGTGGGTGTAGCCATACCTGTGCTGCAAGTTAAGGACAGGTAAGAACATCAGGCCTTTCCTCCTTCCCCAAACCTTGTCCAGCCCAGACAGGTTGTACTCTTGGCTCCCATGGGGCTTCCCAGAAATTGAGTGGGACAGAACCCCACCTGTCTTCCTGTAGCCTTTCCCTCTTTACCCCAAGGAAAAGACGTATCCGTCATAGGACGGTGGTTTCCAAACCTTTAAAATAATTGTCTGACCCAGTACAATATCAGGCGGTTTCTGATTAAAATTATCTGTAGTTCTCCACCCCAAACTGATGCCCAATTAGTACTGTGGTGCCTATTTTAAATACATACAAATATATAACATGCTTTTAAAACATGGAATCCTATTCCTATTTTGATTTCCTAATTATTTTACTTAAAAGTGGCCAGTGGACATCTTAATATCAATACTGATGCCCCCAATGATAAGGAAATAATGCTCAACAGGGGAGGTCTTTGTCTGTGGACAAGAACCCCCCCCCACCATGTTTTTGCCATAAGATGTTCTATTCAAGCAATATTAACTGTTTGAGCTGCAGGATGCCCCGACCCTATGTATCAAGATGTTCTGTTCAAGCAATGTAACTGTTTGAGTTGGAGGATGCTCCTACCTAAGGTTTTGAGAATGTTCTGTTAACTCTGCCCATCTGCCTCAGGGAGCATGCTCACCCAGTAGGTGGGCCTAACCCCCCCCCCATAGATCTCTATATAAGGTTGCTTCCATTTCTGTTCAGAGCTCAGACTTCAGAGTATAAACTCCTCTGAGCCGATAAAGTTTGGATCCCTCCATCTCTCAGACTGACGCCCTCAGTTTCTTCATCTCCAGAGACCTTCAGATAGCTGTAACACTTGGCTGTAATACTGAGCTGTCTCACTTTGCTGTACATTATCCTATCATCTGTACTAGCCTTACAATTGACCATATGTGCACAGCAGCCTCCATTAATACATATTTAAGACATTTATTATTTTTATATGTATTAATATGACTGCAATAAATAATAAATTGGACAATGCCCCTTTATTGATTTCCTCGGGATAAATTCTAAGAAGTATATTTGATGACCAAAGAGTGTGCTCATTTTCAGCCTTTGTTGGACATTTTCAAATTGATCTATGAGGATCTCCGTCCTGTAAAAACATTTTGGGAGTCTCAGATGAGAGGTTCTTTACTTTTAGTAGCCATTAATTGGAAAAAATCACAATAAAGGGCTACCATGATGCAGTTATGACTGCAAGTTAAGTTGTATTAAACACAACAGGATCAGGGTATACTTTTTTTAAAACAAGCCATTTTATGTTCAGAACATATTATTTGTCCACATATAATCCTTGGAGTGCTTAAGGTCTTGTGTGCTACCTCCAGCTACTTTGGAGTTTCAGAAATAAGAACTATTGCCTTTCAATTATATTCTGTTTGTTCAGGCTCAAATATCAGCAGGTCTCATGTACAATGTATGTGTCCACTTATCTTATTGTCATGTTCTCTAATAGCTGTTCATCTCTTCCTGAAGTTTCTACTGGCAAAGATGTGATGAGAGTATTCAGAAGTTCTTGCCCAGAAAGACAGATGAAAGAGGGAGACATGGATGGAGACTACAGGGAGCATGAAGGAAAGGGAAGAGGAGCTGTTTCTTTTAATAAATCATAATTGTAAAAGTAGCCACACTACTTATTTCATTAGAGGTGATGGTGAGAAAGGCAAAGAAGAGGACACCTGACACTTGTTGGGCACTTTCTGTCCAATGAGGACTATTCAAATTCTCCACAAACATTATCTAAGTGATTCTCCCCTCCTCCTTGCGTACGGGGGATTGAACCCAAGACCTTCACACTGAGCTCACCCCAGCTCTATTTTTATTTTTTATTTTGAGACATGGTCTCACTAGTTTACTAAGATACCCAGGCTGAGCTAAAACTTGTAATCCTCCTACCTCAACCTCTCAAAGTTTTGGCATTACAGGTGTGGAACATTTCTAAATTATTCTTACAACAGTCATTTCACTGAGCTTAGCATCATCCTTTCACATGTAATAACACTGAGTTTGAGGGAAATAAAGTAATGTGCTCAAAGTCATAGAGCAGATAAGTGTCAAGACTTACACTATAATCCCATGTCAAACACCAAGGCCTATACATTATAACATATTAGGACTTTAAAACCCAGGCCCACTACTCAGTTGCTTGGGCTTCAGTTAGTGTCCTACCTTTTTGTGATTTAGAGTCTTCACCTGTATAATAGTATATACCTCACAGAACCACAAAGATAAAAGACATTGGTTCATGTAGAGTGCTTGGCATAGTGCCTGATACAGAAAGTAGTTGGTTCTCTGTATTCTTGAGTTCTGTCTCCACAGATTCAACCATCCACAAATTGACAATATTTAGGATGAAAATAAAAGTTGCATCTTACAGAACATGTGTAGGATTTTCCTTAAACAATACAGCACAACAAATATTTACACAGCATTGTACCTACATTATAGTAGGTATTAAAAGTTCTTCAGAAATGATTTAAGAAGATGCGTATAAATTACATGCAATACTGGGCCATTTTATGTAAGGT